CGTCTCTGCCGCCCCCTAGCGGCGGAGCCGGGCGGCCCTGTGTCCAGCCTGGCCCCGCACCTGCCCCGGGTGACGGCGCCGCTTCCCGGGGTGGCCGGGGACATGAGGCCCGCTCCGCACCTGCCGCACGCCTGGCGCTGGGCCCGTATGTGACTGCGCTAGGACGCTGCGCGCAGGAAGAGCCGGCCCTCCTGGGCCCAGAGCAGGGACCCGAGGACGTGGAGACGGGTGCGTGCAGCCCAGCGTCCCTTGGGCCTGAGGCAGGGAGCAGTGTGGCCCAGCAAGGGCGCCCCTTCCTGTCCGCAGTGCAGGAAGCCCCAGCAGCCTGGGGGCACCGTCAGTCCCCGGGAGCTGGTGCCACGGCGCCCCTGGCCTTGCCTGCAGCTGGCGGGCCCAGCTGCCATGCAGACCTCATCTCAGCAGCGTGGGCATCGCCCTGGGCAGCTGCCCCCAGGCCGGTTCAGGGTGTCCTGTCCGTCACCGGCGCCATAAATAAGCTGCACGCCCCACACCCCCACTTGTCCAGCTCCCCCATGGGTCGGGTCCCTTGCATGAGACCCACGGGTGGGCGCGACCCCCTACTCGCCTTCCCCTGCAGGAGAGAAAGCGGCAGGGGAAGGGTGGACTTCCGCAGCCCCTGGGCATAGCCCCTCTCATAGCCTCTGGGGAGCAGGCGACGTCCTAGGAGTTGGGGAGGAGCCCAGGGCACCCCAGGCCCTGCGTGTGCCGAGGGTCACCACCGGCTCAACTGGCCAGGCCACTGCATTCTCACTCAGCCGTGTGGACCTGGCAGGCGGAGCTGATCGCGCCCGGGGGCGGGGGGACAGGTGACTCTTCACCAAAGCGGGGACAGCCACAAGCGCCCCGTCCCACACTGCATCCGTGCAGAGAGGCCGTGCTGTGCCCGCAGCATGCTCAGTCACTGTGATTACTAAAATACTGTGCTTCTCGTGTGCGTGTTCGGCAAGCCCTCTACCCCTGAGCTACAACCCCAGCCCCAAATAAATGCTTTTAAAGGAAAAAGAAAAGCGGGGGGGGGGGGTCGTTCTGACACACCCGGTGGACCTTTGCGTATGCGGGAGGCCGGCAGCTCTGAGAGCAGCCAGTGGAGGAGAAGGTTTCCTTGGTGGTGCTGGTCTGGGTTTGGACATTCTTTAATGTTTATCTTTGCTTCTTTGGATTTCTTGTTTTGTTTTTTGCAGCTTAGTAAATTTCAGGCCCAGCCTCAGAGCAGACTTTCCCCTCTCTCTGTGCCAGACCCTTGCTGCTTCCTAAGGGGAAATGAGAGCCGGAGCGCAGGCTGAGGGTCGCGCAGGAGAGCAGGGCCTTCAGCTGAAACCAGGTCCAGATGTGCGGCCGGCAGCCACAGCCGGGGTGTGGGGACGGGGCCACCCACATCTGCGGGCCAGGCCGGGGCCACGGTGGTCAGGGCTGCCAGGGCCCGGGGTCACCTTGTCCATTTCCGGCCTGGACAGAGGCCAGCCTGTGAGCCCCACCCGAGGTGCCTCGGGCACATTTCTGGGTACAGTAAAGGGGTGTCTAGTAAGTGTCTAGTAAGGCACTGGGAAATAGAGAAGGGCACACAAAACAAAAGAAGCAGCAGCCATCCACACTACGACGCACAGGTAAATCCTCTCAATATTTGTTGATTTTTCGAGGTGCTGGGGTGGAACTCAGGGCCTGTGCATTCTCAGGAAGTGCTCTACCACTGAGCTATACTCTGAGCCCTGCCTTCTCCATATTTTGAAGGTCGTTCCCCCAGTAATCTTTCGATGTGAGTTTGTTTTTACAGTTATTGGCATAAAGACAGGATTACAGGGGACATGCTCCCTTGTCACCTTTCTCCCCTTTTACTTAATATATCGTGAAAATGCGTCTATAGCGCCAAGCGAGGTGCTGCATGTGTGTAATCCCGGCACTCTGGGAGGCTGAGGCAAGAGGATTACAATTTCAAACCCAGCCTGGGTGACTTAGTGACTTAACAAGACACTGTCTCAAAATTAAAAATAAAAAACAGGGCTGGGGATGCAGCTCAGTGCAGAGGCGCTGGGTTCATCTCCCAGCACCAAAAAAAGAAAAAAAATTTAGACAATGTAGTGACTTCATACGTAGTAGTTATTCATATGTGTAATTTATTTATTTGACTAGTCTCCAAGTGATATTAGTTATAGTGACAATTTCTCATGCTTCTGGTTGACAGTCGGGGAATAAATGTAGGCTTCAAATAACTGTCTAAATGTCAAATTGCTGCCTGGAGGTGTGAGGGGCACACCAATAGCATGTGAATGTGTCACACTTCCTAAGTCCCAGACAACTGTGGCTATTATATTTTTAATTTATTTCAACATGATAGATTTAAAAATACATGAACGCATGTATCATGTTTTAAGTTAGGGCGTATTTGTGCTTAAAGCGTAGTCTTGGTGTAACTGGTTCTGAGGTTTGGGTAATCCTGCCACCTGGTGGTAGGCCCTAGAATTGCAGATATAGTGTTTAAAGAGGAAATCCGCCTTCCAGAGCTTTCGGATCCCAGTAGGTCCACGGGTTAGCGGACATCCGGAAATTAGCAGCACAGGGGGAATTGTGGGCTCAGAACTTCAGGAATCAACAATGTGGCACTCCTGCATTTTGGGTTAGTACCGGCGTTTCTGTTGATACAATTATTTTTACAGCACTTCATGAATGGGGGAGGCTTGGCTGGCCCATGCCATGTCCTGAGCTGCACACGGGTGGCATAGAGATCGGTCAGACCGAGCCACAGCCAGGCGACAGCTGTGTGGGTGGAGACCGGCATGGGCGGTTTGCTGTGGGGTAGAGAAAAAGGACTGTCAAGGGCACAGTGCGATCTCCAGGGGTGGGCATCTTGGGTACCCCAGCCCCTTTATCCTTTTCTAAGCCCTGACTGCCACCTACATGGAAAGACTTCTGTCCCACAGGCCTTCATCTTGTCCCCACAACTTTCACAGAAAACATTAGACATCCTCCTCACCGCCTGCCTCCTACAGCAGGATCCTTCTTTCCTCGTTCAGCCTTTCGACTTTCTCGGCTCTCAACACGGAGCTCTAATGACTTTCCAGTGTGTTTTGCACTTTCAGGAGGCAGCGGGCACATTTCTTGAACCTAACGCAGTGCAATGAAAAAAAAAAAGAATTAAACAGGGATAAGGGGGCGCGCGGGCTAGGTGAAGGATGGATATAATCTGGATTAAATAATCAGAGGGCTCTTGGCAGAAGATGACATTAGAACCGAGACTTAAATGATGAAAAAGAGGTAGTGATCTTGGGGGAAGTGTTCCCAGCAAGGAAGAGGAGGTCTCGGGTCTCGCATTTGGAATAAGCCCTGCGTGTCCGGTCCCCTCGGGGCCGTGGTGCTGGCGTGAGTGAGCCGGTGACCCGCGGAGTCAGCGTGAGGGCTGCAGTGAGCGGCTGACTGCACTGGGTCGGGGTTGGGACGCTGGGACTTGCTGGGACCCCTTGACCTTGAAAGAGCTGCGCAAGAGCAGGCCCCCTCCTAACCCTCCTGTGGGAACAGAGAAGGAAGGGGGACCTGCGCCTCTCCTCACCTGCACCGCCAGTGGCAGACGGGGACTCCCAAGCCGAGAGGCCACAGGACGTAGCTGAGACACAGCCTGCTGCACGCCAGGCCGAGGCTGGCACCAGGCTGCAGGATCTGCCGTGACGAGCCGGGCTGGCCAGTGAGGGCGGGAGCCAGGGCCCGCACGCTGCTGGAGTCGGTCTCCCGTTCTCCCTGGTTTTGTTCTGTGTTGTGCTTTTATTTTTGCCGCCTCCGGGACTGAACCCTGGGCCTTCACAGTGAGCTATATCCCCAACTCTTCTTGAGAAAGGGTCTCTCTAAGTTGCTAATTTGCCAAGGCTGAGCTTGAACTTCTGATCCTCCTGCCTCAGCCTCTCAAAGTGCTGCAGTCAGAGGTGTGCGCCACCACACGCAGCTTCACCCCTGTTTTCATCCAGCCCTGGAGCGCTCTTCCCAAGTCCTGCATTTTATAACCCCCATTGTCAAATTAAGACTCTTTCCTACTTTCCATGAAAACAAACAAATCCAATTTAAAGAGTCCGTTTTTCCATTTCGCCCCTCCCCGTCCCCGTCCTCCCATCTGTGTCATAGCCATCATTTGAAACTGGCAAGAAAGTCGCCCCCTCGGGATGGAATGTTCAGTTCTGTTTCCCTGGCCCGGCCTGTTCTGTCAAGCTGTGGTGGAGCGGCGTAGGGCCCGCCAGGGCACAGCCACCACGGACCGCCCGAGCATGCCCTGCGCTGCTCTTCTGCCCTTCTGCACCTGCGTTTGCAAAGTGTGAGGCC